TTAAACTAAGTAATTATCAGAAAGAGTTTTGATTATTATGTAGAATTTTTATTTAATTTAAAAATTAATTTTAATTTATATTTAAATATTATAATATATATATATAGTCATGCTTCTATATAATTACCTTTCTATAATCATATCATATAAATATCTTTCTTTATTATCTTCTATACTTAATGATAAATTACTATTAAATTTATTCTATATGAGCACAAACTTTTTATTAACATATTTTTTAAAAAGTTATTAAATAAAAAACATGTGATTATATAGAAGCATGACTAGGGACAGTAAAAAATATTAATTTGATTTTTTAAAAATATTAATTGATATAGTAAAAAATATCAATTTATATCAATTTATATTAAATTAACCAATTATATTGATCACTGCATCTATCAGCCAATCAAAATACAGGATTGGAAATAACATGACAAAGATATCCAAGAATTGAATTGATTTATTGATTATAGCATATAATCGTAAGAGTATAAAGTAATTCTTTGCTAAGATTTTGTATCTAAAACTTTAATAAACCAATATAGTCAGAAAATATACTATAAATGTACAGTGTTGATTACACCATTTATGGTAATAGAATGCTGATCTAATGGTTCCAGAAATTTCTTTATGTTAATTCAAGAATGATTACTAACCAATCAAATCAACTAAATAGAAAAAAATTTTATTATTATGCAAACTAAAATATTTCAAATCTTATTTACTTTTTTAATAGTTTTACTTTTTTAACGAGAGTTAACTAGAGTGGATTATTGTGAATTATTTAAACTACATGTTTTCTACTATCTATAAATGCTTTTATTTAGAAGTTTTAAGCAATAAATAAAACATATAAAAAATTTCCTAAAACTGCTGACAAGAAGTCATACAAAGCCAATCAAATTTGTGCAGATCATTCTAAAACCAAATTTTCTAATTTGCCCTTATTTGCTATATTCTCTGATTGCAATATCAGTATTGTATAACCAGAATATATTTTATTTAAAAAAATTTATACTATTATGATTTCTTAAATTTCTAAATTTAACTTTCTTAATTTCAGCCAGCACTATTCTAATTCTGGCTACAAAATCACTGCATATAAAGTCGTAAAAATATCGATTTGACCCAATTTGGCCTGATTTACATATAATTAACATAAATCGATATTTTTCACTATCCCTGAGCATGACTGTATTAAAAATAATTTTTTTGGTCTAATTTTACAGTGTATAGTATATAAGTATTGAATTGTTAAAACAATTTGTATAAAAAAAAGTAGTTTATACCAAAGTTTTACAAAAAAAATTTTTTTATTGATATTCAAAAGGTGGTTTCATAAGCAAATCTTAGGTTATAAATGATTTTTTAAAAAAAAAATAATTTTATATTACACCTGATTATGTAGTCTAATTGGCTTTTTATATTACCTTTATATATATATATAGTGTTTAAATAGAAATTTCCAATTTATAAAATACCGCATGTACTGTAATTAGTTTTAATTATATTTATTTTTAGCAAAATTGATTAAATTTTTGATTTTTTTATAATATTGTAACGGAGTAAAATGAAATCGGATTAAAATGAAGTATTGTAAAAATGTAAAAAATAGACAAGCCACCAAAAAACAAAAATTTTTAAGATGCATTTTTTAGGGTTAGAGGTTAGTTTTAGGATAGAGTTTATAATAAACAAGTATAAGTGGGTTTTAGAGGGCTAAATAAAATAAATATAACAAGTAAGAATTAATAGAACACATTAGTGGAAATTATTGACCTCCCAAAATCGATTCTGACAAAAATCGATAACCTCTCTAATCTGATACTATATAAATCTAATAGTTTATAATGTTTCTGACCTGTTATAACCTTTCAATGCAGATATAAAACCTGTCCAATCATGCAAATCAGGTTTGAGAGGTTTGACATTTATATGATAGCCTCCAAAAACACGTTAAACCAATTATTAATAGACCTTGTTACTTATATTGTCTTTACGATAGAACATTCAAAAAACTCGATCATGTTTCTGAATCAGTGTATGAAGATAAAAAAAGACTCAAATTTTTGGGTTGTACAAGAATTTTTTTTTAGCCGTGAAAACGTTAATTGAGATAAAAAAAATTCATAGATTATTAATAATTAGGTTTTATATAAAAAATTATTTACGATAGAAAAAAATTCGGTATCAATATTCATATCGATATACGTATAATGATAACTAAATTTAATATAAGTGTGGATTTTTATTCAGAATAATCGGTTTAATGTAAAAGAAAGAATCAGCATCATTCATCAATTAGGCTGTTTATGAAAAAAACCGGTTCCTAAAAAGGAGCTTAGACCTATTTCAAATTCATCTTTCAATTTTCTTTGACAAAATATATACAGTATATTTATATATATATGCTGATTCAATTGTTGCTATACGTATCCAGTATATTATTGTAATTATAATGATATAAATAAGGGGGGTTTCATAAGCCTCAAAATGTCAAAATAAATAAATGTCTTATGATCAAAACTGGCCACGCTACGAAAAGTTACATGTGTATTTTTATGACTAATATGGTCTACCGCATTATTCCTATTCTTTCCGTACTAAATTTTTTTAGGTTTTTAATAGAAAAAGCAAGCACGTATGACGTACATATATTTAATATAACAATAATGATAAAAGCAGTTTTATCAATCCCATACTATTATCGGATCGGAAAATTAAAACTCGAATATTCAAATTCGTAAATGCAGGATGTACAGCTTGTAAGACATAATGCATAAAAAAAGGTTAGTATGAAAATTAGGTGTTGACATAGGTATACATATATATATAATGATTATAAACTAGGCAAACAGGTTCTGTGTAATGCTGTAATGCTGTAATGCAGCAATGTTGAAAAATTTCCATCAGCACATGCATATCATGTTACATTATGCAAAACAGACAGTCATGTGAATTAGTTGAAACGAGCAATTTCTAGAATTTACGTTTGACCTTCACTACGTACGCTCTGGACAATGAGAATTTATTAACATAAGGTTTGATAGAAATATGTCAAATTTTAAAGTTAAAATCAGGATTTAGGGTTAGAGGTAGGTTCTGAACATTTTTGCATAATGTATACTGTAATATATACTATAAACTATAATAATATAATACTATAATATTTCAAACACCAATTACTCGAGCTTTTTTAAGAGCATTTGAATCGTCCTATAAATAAATAAACAAATATATTAACTTAAAATATATGTGTAAATTTTCTTTTTTTTTTTAATAAAAAAATAAATAAATAAATAAATTAAAATACTGTATCATACGTATATACATTTAAAAAAATCGCACGTTACTGAATTAGTACAAATGCAATGGAATAAAAAGTAGTTTGTCATATAATCAAAGAAGTAATTTCATGTGGATAAAATTTTACTGATTTATTACACTATAGCTTGTATAGCTTGAATGGGAGTAACACAAAACTGTTTATCATTATAATGGTCGCAAAGTAAAATAAAAAATAAAAAATAAAACGCCGACTCCGAATGTAACCAAAAAGGAAAAACTCATCAGGTTTTTTGGGTCGGCATCAAGCGGATTTCAAATTGTGAAACTTAAAGGAGATCCAAATTACAGCCTCGATGGAGATACAAAAAAAATAACTTACGTTAGTGTAAAAAAAAAAAAAAATTAATAACGCCAGATAAAGTAAAACTTGTATTCTTTACGCCAAAGGGCCCTTGATCCAATTAAGAGATTTTAAATTTTTAATTCAACGTCACTAAAGTTCATTGTTCGGACTCATACAGCCAACCACAATCGACAATGATGTTTATTATTTACTTATTAACCTAAGACAAGTTAGTCAAAAACAAATAGCACACGACCTCACACGATTTTAAATTGATGAATTACTTTAATGAGGATTGGTTCGTGGTAGTCTTTAACATCAAATAATCCATATTATTTATGACTAAAACGTAGTTCTGAGAAGGATAACCTTTGTAATCGCCGGTAGTGTACCAAATAAAAAACATTTTGCGAGTAAGCAATTACATAAATAAAAGGCGCAATACTCCGAAAAGATATATATTTTTTAAATTATGATGGAAATTCGTCATATCATTAATATATTACGTACGTACGTACGTACGTAACATCATCGAATTACTACATTTATGCATAAACATGTAATATGTTTCTGCGCGTTTTTTAAAAGAAATACTATGAATGAAACTATAATTATTTTAGAGAAATGTAACACATTTAATTCAAGAACTTTAGTAGATATATTATCAATAAATTTTAGTTATTGTAAAGATGCAGAGTTTATTATTAAAGAAAAAATGACATAGAGTTTTTTTTTGTATATACAAAGATTTTCGAGACCCAAATTAAACTAAAAAAAATTTACAAATGAAATTCAAGTTCTATATAAAAACTAGAAATACCCAAGATAGTAAGGGCAAAAAACTTGGGTAACTCAAAGATAGATATGTATGTGAATGCATTAATGCGATAAATGAATAAATCTTATTGTTGATATCAACTACATGATGTAAATATTACAATGCTTATGTTTCTAATCTGTATGATACGTAGAAAAGGATGTGCATATTATTCTAAAAGGTGTATTTTCTTCTCGAGTATTTATTATTTCTAAAAAAAAAAAAAGTGATGATATATTATGATGTCATCACGTGAAATTTGTGTGAAATTGTGTTTTTAAATTTTTCGAATGTTATTTTAATCACTATCCTCGTATAGATTCTTAGTGTTAAAATAAACATAAAGATTGCGAAAAGGAGGGAAAATGTATTATTCAATTAACGAAATTTTTGTGTTTGTGTTTGTGATTAAGAAAAATATTACGATAAAAGCCGAAAGTATTTAAGTCTATAAGATATAGTACAAATCAAAAAAAAATATACAATATTATGTTTTTAAGAATGTCAAAGAGTACCAGACCCTCTAACGAGGTTGAGAACTCGGTTATTCTACATTCTTTCAAAGATCTAAAAAAATCGAATAATAATAATAATAATTAGTTAACAGTTCAATATATATTGATGATAAAAAGCGATATATATATAATTATAATTATAATTACCCAGTCATCCATAGTGTCGTCCTCAACGGCCACAGACTTTTTATCTTCGTTAATATATTTTACGATCCAATCATCCCATAAAGAGTTTGGGGAAATTTGGCCAGAAGAAATTAAATTTTCGGAAATAGAACTTCCTTGACGAGAGTGACGTCTAGAATGATTACTATTTTGGAATCTGGCAACCACGCTACAAGCAGTGGCACCAACATGTGGAGCGGAAGTCTTAAGTTTTGTGGAAGAAACGCTACTTTCTCTAGTATGAATTCCTCCTACAGTAGAACTTTGCTTTGAATGAGAGGGAGATTTTATTGAACCTTCAGATTGTTTATATTCGATGTTATAGATAAGCTTGTTTTTAACGGAACTGACGGTGACGTGAGCGGCAGTCAAATCAGCTTGAACTGGTTCAAAGCTTCCTATTCTTGATAATGTTGGACGAATAGGACTATCCATAGTGTTTTTACTAGGACTACCACGAAGGCAAACATTTTGTTCGTACCACTGAGAATAGAAAGACATGTTGTAAGAAGATAAAAAAGTCAAGTGAATTTTATTGTATGTATGTATGTATATATATATTGTGTTTATATATATCTATATAGTGACTTGCGATTACTATCAAAGTAAAAATTCAAATTTTTAAAAATTATTCGAGTGCCGGAATGTTGTATTTATATATGTTTTTGAGAAACCACCACCGAACGGTAAGTAGTAGTATTGATCGATAATCGTAGTTCTGTAATCCTGTTTATGTTTATATCTGACAGGCATGACATAACGTATTTTTTTTTTATATAGATTATATAGATTACATAGATTACATAGATTATTATATAGATTATATAGATTATATATATAAATTATATATATATAATATATTATAGTTATTGTAATTATTTTATATGTATACTACGTAACAATAAAATAATAATGAGTTGATAAGCCATAAATTGATTATTGTTTATGGAATATTATTTATGTTGTAACTTAAGCAAAAAAATTGTTAGGTTGATGATGATGACCGAATTTAGATGTTATTAACACTACTAGGCCAAAGACGCGATAGTCATAGGCTTATGGTTTTCATTGGTATTTCAGCTTGATAGTCATGAATAGAAAATGTTTAAATACTATTTAAATACTATTTAAATACGTAAGCAAAAGATTATCTAGTGTAATATAAAATCATGTAAGAAAAGGAAATTTATGTATATAAAATATCCAATTTCTTCCGAAAAAAAATAGCAGTAAACTATACATCGGAAGAACGTTGCCTTTTAATTTTTAATTTTGGGACTTTTTTTTTTATGCATTGAAGATCGTTTGTCGAGAAAGAAAAGTTACTACGTATAAAAAAGCTACACATTATGTACAGTATATGCGTTTGTATGACAATTATCTCATATCATATCGATATAGCTCCGCGTAAAAAAAATATACCATATTAGGATTTTAATGACTTTGGGTATCGATATGTAATCCCGTGTTTCGTATTTTTCTCTAATTCAACTTATAACAGTACGTATTAAAACAGTATAATAATGTTTAATGCAATAATCAGTCATCGTGCATCTTTCTTTGTTAATATTATAATTATAACTACTCGTAATCATCATCATTTGGGTCAAATTCATATATAAAATAAAAGTTTCGGAAAACGTTCTTTTTAATTGCCGGGTAGATAAGACTTTGATAGCTTTGGTTCATTCAAATCATATCGATATATAAATATCAATATCAATATAAAAATATCAATGTAAAAATATCGAAATATAATTTGAACGGTGGTACTTTTTTATTGGCCGGGTAGATACTGTAACTAAATTTATATTAACTAACTAAATTTATATTAACTAACTAAATTTATATTAACTAACTAAATTTATATTAGACTAAAAAATGTTGTAATACCCCAAGTGGTCTAATTAATATATATATAAATATATAACCAAATTTAGTAATCATATAACTGTATAACGATTATTTACTACGGCGCCAAAACCATTCATTACATATTAAGGTATCGAACTGGTAACGTAATTATTGGTTTTCAAATGATATAGTTTCAGATGATATTTTCAACTGATATTTTGATATTATTTACGCCGTTTACAACCCTAGATAAGTCTTATCTTTATCTAAAGTTGATCATTATTTAATCTCGAACATTTTAATCATTTGTTTATTTCTTTTAAAATAATACCATTAGCTGTTGTGTGATCTTTGGTTAACCTTTGTGTACACTCTTTTTAGGAATGAAATTTAACAATATTGAAAGAACATAAAACCTAGATAGGCTATTAGTGGTGAACGTGCTTAATTCATTGGCTTACTTGTTACAATCAATTTTTTCATTCTTAATAGGATAATTATTTGAAAATAAAAAGTTTTAGTTTAAAGTGAACACGCGACACGAACACATGAATTTGATGAAAAAAGTATGTTTAATTGGTTTTTGAGAAAGTTTTCAAATCGAGCTTTCGTGTTTTGTTTGTGGCGTTTTTATTTACCATTTTTACGTAATTGCTGTAATTGCTTCAATAAAATTCAATAACGATGCTAATTTACCAAAAAATATTAGTTATCAATTTCCGGGATTAATTTTGTGTAAAGAAATCTCCCGCCGAAAATCTCTATACAGAGATAATCTAACTTACTACGTATATATATTATTATTATTTATTATGATAATAAAGTATCGTATATTTATTTTACTTCAAAAGAAAATTAAAGTCCATGCCTTATACTTATATCGATATAATTCAGTAATTGATAACGAATAAGGCAATCACTATAAACAATGCCTCAAATTTAACTAAACGTGTTTCGGTTGGTTGTAACATCCTCAAAATCTATAAAATTTTTCATTTTCCCAAAATGAACAAATATCTATGGGGATTTTTTTAATTATCTCGCATAATGTACGTACGGAATTTTTTTAAAAAAATAATAGACGAGAATGGAGAATGTACGATATTACGACAACTGAATACAATTTATCACACATCGGAAATGTGAGTAATTTAATTTTTTTTCGTTGTATGCATATGCATCTAACAGTTTACGATATAATATCTTTACAACATGAAACAATTATTTATCCTTTTTTATTTTTATTTTTTTTTTATTTTCGCGCTTCGTTAATAAATTTTGATATTTTTTTTGTGGGAAAAAATGAATGATCATACACAAAAACAGAATTCTCACTTGCTCTATAAGTCACGCGAGGTGATTTACTTGATAGTGCATTTCCGGTGTGCAGTCCCTGTCTGGTCATGTAAATGATCTGTTGGCCTTTCATTTTTGGAACATACGTACAGTACGTTACGGCCGTAATTTTCTGATTCACATGTGATCTCCAAAATTATATCTACAAAGAATTGCAAGAGACAATCAGGTGAAGGTTATTTAATATTAATACAGTATTATTAAAATTTATTGCTATTGAATTTTATCCATTCATAAACACAAATGGTTAATTCTACGTTTACCCCAGAAAGCGTGCGATTGATCTTTACCCTAAAAATTATGTCGCTCTGGGACCTACTTACTGTATGATTGATCTTTGCTCTAAAGAATATGTCGCTCTAAGACCTACATAATATTGTCATTACTAGATACTATTGCGAAATAACCTATCACTATTGAAAAAAAAAAACGTTACCTGTTACCTGTATTATACACGATTTTCATATTGTTGTTCGTCTAGCGCTAGTGGTTTTTTTGAACCCGATGACCTTCACCTGACCTAATCAGTAATATCTACACAGCCAGTTAATGATATTCTATGAGTCATTCCGGTTAATGATATTCTATGAGTCATTCAAGTTATTGACTTTTAAAATTTTTAATTTACTTGAATTATATATATATGTATAAGACATAATGACTACAGTTGAGATAAAAAATTGTAATGTGGTTAAGTCATTACGTGTGCAATGTTTCACTTGGCATCTATTTATGGTGATTTTTCATTGTGTATATACAAAAAAATGTTTAGCTTTAACACTTTTTTCATTTACCAATAAGATTTTATTATTAAGGGCTTTATTTAAAAAAAAAGGTGCAATATACATTTACACGGTTACATATACGTACGTATAGGGTACGTTAAACGTTAAAAAAAACTGGATGAGACCATTTGAATGAGATAACTGTTGGGCCCTATCGGTAAAGTCCACACCAATTTTATACATTAAACGCCTTTTGCATCATGTCGTGTTATAAACGTTTTGTTTTGTTTATATTTCACTATGTAGTGCACACATCTTTTTTTCTGGGCAATATATATACAGTTATATTGAAAATTTTCTATATTTATATAAACATACATATATACATATATATCTTTTTTTTTTAGATAT